CACGTATCGCGCAATCTTAATGAATATCATGAAAAAAAATTTTTCGAAATTTTTTTCGATCTTATTTTTGGTGTACGGACTTGAAAAAAATTTTCCCAACTTTACCACCTTACGGATTAGATAGGTTGTTCATTTAGCTTCAATTTCTTTTTTTTTTTTAGTCTCGATACGACCATTTCTCGCTGAGCTATCGGACTTTGAATGAAAATGGATCATTTTCTCTTTGTTCATCGATATCTCAGAAACCAACGGTTGCACAGAAAAGCGACGGTGGGTTTCAGAAACTTGAATGAATTCTCCTGGCACGGTTTTTTAGAAAAAAAATTTTATCCTTAACATGATTTTGAAAAATAGTAAAAAATGGGACTTTTAGGGGTCTTCTAGAAAATCACGTGCCACATTGAGAATATTGGGAAAATAACTAATGTTAAGGGTGCCTTTTACAGGTCATTGTACCCCTAAAAGCCCTGCAGAGTTTCAATTCNAAAAAAATTTTTTCAAGTAACACGTATCGCGCAATCTTAATGAATATCATGAAAAAAAATTTTTCGAAATTTTTTCCGATCCTATTTTTGGTGTACGGACTTGAAAAAAATTTTCCCAACTTAACCACCTTACGGATTAGATAGGTTGTTCATTTAGCTTCAATTTTTTTTTTTTAGTCGCGATACGACCATTTCTCGCTGAGCTATCGGACTTTGAATGAAAATGGATCATTTTCTCTTTGTTCATCGATATTTCAGAAACCAATGGTTGCACAGAAAATCGACGGTGGGTTTCAGAAACTTGAATGAATTTTCTACAAGATCCTGGCACGGTTTTTTAGAAAAAAAAAATTTTTATCCTCAACATGATTTTGAAAAATCGTAAAAAATAGGACTTTTAGGGGTCTTTAAGAAAATCACGTGCCACATTGAGAATATTGGGAAGCCATTTGTTTGTTTCATTCGATTGAATTTTTAAAAAAATTAAAGGATTACGATTTTTTGCATTTAAATGCTCATAATCTGTAAAAAAATGAAAAAAAAACATTATTTTCCTGATTATTTTTACATTCTTATTGCAGAAAAAATTTTTTAACCGATTTTCAGAAATTTCGCAAAACCGCCGGCATTAGCGTTACCCAAAGCGTACCACGTAGAGGTTGCACAGTCGGATTTACGCTTCTTTTACACACGTGCGAAAAGCGTTTGAAGTTATGACAAAAAAAAAAATTTTTTTAATTTTTTTGAAAAATTTTTTCGTTGGATTCACTCCAGAAAATTTATCTCAGTAATCCCCAAGCATTTTCGACACGATTCCCCTACTTTGATACCCCTAACCGAATATTGACCTCGATCTACACCCTTTTCAGAGATTATTGCTGCGATACTTCTGAATTCATAAAACGCTTTTTCCGAATTTACAGAACACTAAAACAAAGTTTTTTTCAAACCACCTTTTTTTCAGTAGAAAAAAAAATGAAAAAATTTTTTTTTGTCCAAAAATTAGAAACATCAAGCTTCAAATTGATTTTTTTTACTCCAATACGACCATTTTTATCAAAGATACAGCCATTTGAAAAATCGCCGAAAATTTATATATATTTTTTGATCCCTTAATTTTTTCCATTAGTGTATAACAAACGAAATCAAATCTATTATCAACATTCTCACAGGTGCGTGTCACGGTGAAGATGGCGTCTACTTCTATGGTTTATTACACTTTATACCATTATCGGATCAGGATAAGCGCTTAGTTACTGCTTGCCAGAATGTGTTGTACTCATATGCCAGCAGCGGGTAAATAAAACATAAATTTCCTTGAATGACTTATTCCCTTCGCTAATTCCAATTTTTTAGTATTCCTTCATTCGATGGGACAGACGTTTGGCAACCAACGGGATCTGAAGAGCTGACATACTTGTTCATAAATGGACCAGAAGACATGAAGCTGCACAGGAGCGAAGAATTGAGACCAATTGAGTTTTGGAGCAAGCTTGGGCTCCTGGAGAATGAAAACCTTATTGTAAAAAATAAACTGTAGATTTATAGTTACATATATGAACTATAAAAATATCTAACAAGATAAAAAATGGTCGATTTCATCGCTTTGCTTATTGTTATAATTGTTTTATTAATCTTAGGGTAGAGTAGCCATATGCTAGACTTGTAACCTATGCTTTTAAATAAAGACTAATATTATTACTATTAAGTATTTATTAGGTACACAGCCCCACAAAAAAAAGTGGCAGGTCCGAAAGACAAGACCATGGTATCCATATGGTTTTGGGGTCGCTGAATCCGAATCCGGTGTCGGTTTGACGCGCTATGCTCTGGTTTAAGGTCAGTTCAAGGTCAAATGTAGAAAA